GATGGGGGATCCTTTGTAGGTAACTTTCTGTCTCTCTCTGGCTGCTTTTAAGATTCTTGCTTTGTCGTTGGTGTTTGCCAATTTAATTATTATGTGCCTTGGTGTCGGTCTTTTCGGGTTCATTTTGTTTGGGACTCTGTGAGCTTCTTGGATTTGTGTGAGTTTTTTCCTCCCTATATCCGGGAAATTTTCTGTTACTATTTTTTCAAACAGGTTTTCTATTCCTTGCTCAGTTTCCTCTCCTTCTGGCACCCCTATTATTCGGATGTTGTTTCGTTTAGCATTGTCCCAGAGTTCTCTTAGGCTCTCCTCCTGCTTTTTAATTTTTTTTTCTAGAAGCTGTTCTGTTTGGGTATTTTTTTCTACCTTGTCTTCTAGCTCGCTGATGCGGTCCTCTGCTTCTTCTAGTCTACTGTTGATGCTTTCTATTGAGTTCTTTATGGCAGTGATGTCGTTTTTCATTTCTTCTTGGTTTCTCTTCATTTCCTCTTGGTTCTTCTTCATTTCCTCTTGGTTCCTACACATATTGTTGAATTGGTCTTCCATTTTTTTCATCCACCTTATGACCATTACTCTGAATTCTTTCTCTGACAGGTTGCTTGCCTCCATTGCCTCCATTTCGTTTACTTCCTTTTCTGATGATGCCTGTTTTTCTCTCATATTTGGGTTGGTTCTTTGTTTCACCATGATTTCTCTTCTCAAGGTGTTTGGTTATGTAGTTCTCTCTCTGCTGCGCTGATTCAAAGGCACAAAATACAACACAACAAGGCACAACGTACAAGGCAACAAACTAAATGCATTCACGATATTAATAACCCCAAATAAAGGTGACCCCCCGAGCGAAGAGAATTAGGGGATATAGAAGAAAAAAGAGAAAAAGATTAAAGAGAAAAATAAAAAACAAAAAGGAGTGCCGAAATGAGATTGGGAAAAGGGAGAGAAGAAAAAAAACAAAAATACAAAAAAAAAAAAAAAGTTAGAGAATGAAATAGAGGTGGGGAAGAGGCTATTTGTATGGGGAGAGCGAGGGATTGGAAATTAGATATATAAGTAGAGTGAAATTTAGACAGTGGTTAGAAAGAAGGAATAGGTAAAATCCAAAGCAGGAATAGGGTAAGAGAAACAGGACAACAAAAGGGGAAAAGTGAGGAAGAGAGTTTTGGCTTAAGGGTAAATGTGAGCTAGAGAGAAATGATGCTAAAGGAACGATGAAAATAGTGTGTATAACACTAATCCCAAAATAAAATAAAGAAAAATTAAAAAAATAATAAAAAATAAAATGACACTTGAAAAAATGGTAAAAGGATAGCAATAATACTGGTTAAAACAATGTAGTAATTAAAAAGGTAAAATCAAGTGATGAAAAAAATAAAAAATAAAAAATAAAATAAAATAGGTTCTTAATGAAATGGTGAAAAAAGAATTTAAAAAATATATATATATATATATATATATATATATATATATATATATATATATATATAAATATTCGGAAGTGAAGGTGCTTCAGATCTTCCACTCTTCTTTTTGGCACGCCTCAGTCCTGCCAGGCATTCAGGGGAGTGTTGAACTTCCCTGCGATACACTGTCCCTCCGTGCGGTAAACCACAGACCTGATTTTAAGGCAGCTTGTATTTGTTTACCAGACTGCCTTTATTTGTGATCGTAGAAGAGACAGTTCGTGGCTCTGCCTCTGGGTGGCAGTGTGTCTGGATTGACCTCCGAGGCTATAAGTCCTCTCTATCAGTAGGGTTTTTTTTTTTCCTCTATGGTATTGGGAACTGATTCAGGAAAGACCACTGCCCAGAGCTGGTTCCTTGCCACTGCCCGCTGTTTCCCAGGCTCCCCAAAAAGAACTTTCCCCTACAGGCTCTGTGAATGACCCCAACTGGGGAATCCCATGCACTGGGTTTAATAATCAAATGCACGGATCTAAGGGGAACTGTAACAAGAGCCTGATAGTTGTGCGAATTCGCAAGCCTCCACCTTCCAGGTCTGCGCACAGTCTCCGCGCGCTCACTCGCCCCTGGCACCAAGCAGCCAGCAGATTGGCAAAGTCCAAGGCTGCTCCCTTACATCCAGTCCAGCTATGGGCTCATTTTTCGCGTTCCCTTCTGCCAGCAGCCCTGTGGGGCCCCTTCCCCACTCGCGGGTCACGCTGGTCCCAACGGCTGCAGACTCTGTGGGGCGCAGATTCCGCCCCGCGCGCGCGCGCGAGCTTGGTCCTCCCTCCAACCCGAACTTCAAACCGCACCTTTAGGGGATGTCCAACCTTTCCGTGAGAAGAAGCAGTGCTCGTCTGAGTTCAGGCAGTGACGCTGCTTGAGATCCCTTGTTTCCAGGGTAGTAGCTGGTCTCTGGATGCCGGCAACAACCACCCAAGATGGCGCAGTCTCCACTGCTTAGCTGGCGCACCACGAGAGGCTTCAGCCGCAGTCTCCAACCGTAGTTTTTTTCCTGGGGGTTCTCGGTCTTTCCTAGCTGCAGACAGTCTCTCAGCTGAAAATCCTCTGCCTATTCGGGCTGCATGTTACCCGTTTCAGCTGCTCACCCTTATCTGCTCCAGGACAAGGCACAGGACACGTCCGTTTATACCGCCGCCATTTTTCCTCCCCTCAGCTCAGCCTTCCTTTACGTAACGTCAGACTGTTAGGAAGTCTGTGCAGTTCTCCACGGGAATGGTCCTTGAACCAAGTTTGGTAAGAGAGGAAGATTGGTTTAAAACAGTTAAACTAGGTCAGTGAAGGCGAACTTTTTGAGCTCGGTGTGTCAGCATTTTGAAAAACCCTAACTTAACTCTGGTGCCGTGTCACATATAGAAATTTTTTCATATTTGCAACCATAGTAAAACAAAGACTTTTATTTTTGGTATTTATTTTATATATTTAAATGCCATTTAACAAAGAAAAATCAAAAAAACGAGTGTCATAGGTTCGCCATCACTGAACTTGGTGCTTGTTAAATGTAGATTCCACACCCCACACTAAGACTTCGCAGAGTCCCCCGCCTGAAAATCAGCATTTTCCCTGAGCACCCCCAGGGGCTCTGAAGAACATTACAATTTGAGAATCAAGGGTAAGCCTTCTGAAAAGGAGGGCCTGAGAGGACATCCACCCAGCTGTCTACTTACTCATCCTCTCATCTAAGTCCTAATGTTCAGAATAAATTGGGCTTCTTGCTATGATCATCTCTTTATTTCCAGGAGTAGCCTTTCTCTTGTTTTATTCATTCTGGAGACTAGGATTAAAAATTGTCACACATGACAAAATGTTTTCCCACCCACTGAGTAGTCAGAGGGCTTTTCTTTAGGACTAATGGTCAGAGAATGGATGTCATGGCAATGCCAATTATAGCCGTCAGGGTGAAGGTTCCGTTCTTGGGTTAAGCTTAAATGGCCCCACCGTCTATGGTCTGGGCCCTCTTGGGGTGTTTATGAGGCCTGGGTTACAGCTTATATTTATGGAATTTACAATATCGTCTGCTGGCAAGGCTATCGCTAGGTGGTGTCACAGGAGTTAATACCGGGTTCTGCTACTGAATAGATACTTCATTTCATCTCTCTGAGGTTCCATCTGTAAATCTGGGGAAAGTAACACCTATTTCTAGAGTTGTGAGGATTTGCAAATGTAGATAAATTACCTTACACAGTGCTTGGTACAAAAAAAAATGTGCTCAATACTTGTAGCAATTTCTTTAGTTATTATAGTGGAGGAGAAATTATTGAAAATGGAGGTGAGGTTACCACTGGTATGAATTGAAACAATCCAGTTTGAGGTACTTTTGGAAAAATTTGGTTTTCCCTGTAAATGATTCAGTTTTTCTGTGCCCTGGCATCCACGAGAGTGACCCTTGATGACCTTGGAATGAACTTGACAGTGGGACGTTTGGAGAGAGACAGGATTGGGATGGATGGGTGATGCTGGGATGCAGTGCGGGCTGAGATGAGAGCCACTCAGGCCAGTGGTGCCTGGTAGCCCAGGTTTTTCTCAGCACCATCTGACACCCTGCCCGGACTCCACGTGGCCTCACGTGGGTCCTTATTGTCAAGCTCACAGCCACACACTTTCTTTACTGAAAGTGAGACTCTGTCATAATGAGAAAGTGAGACTGTTGCTTTACCTATTGGTTAAACACAATTTTGTTTATAAATAGTTGGTTATAAGTCAAAGACACATCAGGCAGTGTTTATATATATTCTGGCATAGATATTTATAGATAAATAAGACTTTGAACTTAAAAAATGGTATATGGGGTGTGTGTGTTCAGCTTAGGTCTTAGTTTTACTTTTTCCAGTAAGGTGACTTACAGATTCGAGGACCAAGTCCCCTGGTCAGTGACTCCAGACGTGGTGACATTTTTCTGACCCATGAAATAAAGGCTTTCTCCTTGGATTCAGCTCAGCAGTTTGGATCAAAGTGACATGTTGTTCTGTATTCTATATCGTGCGTGTTTCTGAACACTTGAAAGTGGGTTGATAGCCTCAACTGTGGACTAAGAGGAAGTCTGCAGATGGCATCAAGGGACTGGGGAGAAGTTCAGAATAGGGAAGCACTGAAGGTTGTTGTCAATGAATTAAAAACTTGAAATTCAGCCGGGGTAGGGAGTGGAAGGGCTTAATGGACAGAGCCTGAGCTTAGGGTGACCATGTGTTTGTGTGTCCCCAGCACTTACTTGTGATGGGGCTTTAGGGAAATGAGGTCACTTCTCAGTTTTCTCATCTGTAAAATGTGAGTAATAAAGCCTATCCCTTAGAGTGGTTTTCCGGATAAATTATGTCTTTATTACTGGTCATGATGCCTAGATATGGTAGGCACTCAATAAATTATAGCTGCTGTTATTAGTTATAAGACTATTTAAAATTTGATCAGTAAATGCTATGTAGGTCTGCCAGGATGGAAAAAGTGTGAGTGTGAAATCCCAGGCCGACTCCCCAGGGAGGAATTGGTGGCTATGGAAGTGGCTGTGGACTAAAGCATCTTTCTCTCTGTCCGGTCCTGTAGGATGTGGACAGGTGGTCCTTTGATGTCTTTTCTCTCAATGAAGCCAGCGGGGACCATGCACTGAAATTCATTTTCTATGAATTACTCACACGCTACGATCTGATCAGCCGTTTCAAGGTCAGTGCCTAATGGAAAAAACAACAAGCACACATTTACCTATCCTTGCATGATTTGGGGGCTGAGGCCAAGATAATCCTTTTAATACAGACCCCAAACTGCTCGGGGTGACTTGGTGACGCATCATCTGGACAGTCGCTGCCACGGACTCCTCCGTAGTGGGAACTTTTCATTATTTCCCTGCCTGGCGGGGCTCCTTGGTCAGGGAGAGGCTGGAGTCGCACATTTTGATCCCAGTCTTCCTGGGAAGTACCACCTGAAGCTTGCACTAGCAGAACTCCCCGTGGCTCTGCTCACTGATCTCATTTCAGCCTGATTTCATGGAAATTCTCCTCCATCAGCGGGGAGACACTGATGGAGACAGAATGCAGGACGGCTGCCTCTGCGGACTTTTTTTTCCCATCACTTGACTCAAATGCAGACAAATACCCTCACTAATCATCTTGACGGGTCATTGGTATTGCCCGGCCATTCATGCTTCCAATGAATTCTTCCGCCTTAAGTAAAGAGCACGAATCGTTTCCAGTGTGCAATCCCTTCAGCCTCTCACTCGCAGAGTCTGGAGGTCGGGCCGGGTTCTCCAGGCAACCTGTGAATTCATCGGCTGACATCTGTCGTATTATGTTTCTCAGATGTCCCTCATCCTAGGGATGAGCTTCTGGAAAATGCAGGCCTTTTTCTCTGCAAAATATTGACTTCTCTGGACAGCACGGTGCCTTAGCACTTTCCAAAGGACTGTGTATTTCTTACATGGCCAGAAATATTTGATGGCAGTGGTCCTTAATTTATTTTGCACCAGAAGCCTGTTTGAAAACCCGGTGAATGCCTGAGACATTGTCAGCAGAGCAAAGCTCCATGAATTTCAGGGGTCACAGACCACTCATGAACAGCCCCGAGAATCTAGGTTTCTTGGGACTTCCTTTTCAAAAATGAAAATTGATCTTTGACATCTGCAAGGCAATGTTTAAATTTTTAAAGCCGAAGCGTGGAAGACTGGGCTCCAGAAAGAACATGTTATGGGCTCTCGCAAAGCATCCCAGTAGGATGGTTCTCATTTTTCCTTCCTGATGTGATGTTTAGTCTCCAGGAACATGTACTCTTTCCTTTTCCTCCAGTCCTGAACTTGATAATTTACCCCAAACCAAGGAATTGATCCCGAAAACGTACACAATAACTGTCATAAGGGTGCCCTTATTTTCTACATTTTGCAGTTGCCCTCCACTTTCTGCCACATAGAAAAAGAAGAGATGTATTTATACATATTTGAGACAGAAAAGCAATTAGGCTAATTGGAAATATTATTCCACATTGCAAGGCACCTATAATAAATTGTCAAGTAACAGACATAAGGGCACAGGTTGTTTCTGTTTCCATATATAACAGACGATGTCTTTTTTTTTTTTTTTTTTTTAACGTGTCCATACATGCAATCACTTTCCCTAAAGGGCACAGTTTTCTGGAGATGGCAGCTTATATTTGCTTTGCAATCATTTAATGACCTAAGATCTCGGTGTACTTTATGATTTGTCATAAATAAACTAGATGCACTGCATAGTACGCACTCATTTATTTCTCGAGAAATAAAAGACCCAAACCTTTGCTTGAGGAATAAATGAACACATACCCTTCTGCCCTACATGTCTTTGAGCTGATCCTGTGTAATGTTTTTTTCCTCACTTAAAGCTACTAACCCACTAGCCCATTAAACTTACTACTCTTTTTCAGATCCCCATTTCAGCACTCGTCTCATTTGTGGAGGCCCTGGAAGTGGGATACAGCAAGCATAAAAATCCTTACCACAATTTAGTGCATGCTGCGGACGTCACACAGACGGTGCACTACCTCCTCTATAAGACAGGCGTCGCTGTGAGTACAGATGGGAACGCTAGGATTACACAAACAGCCAGGTCTCTATGGTTGGTCTCTATGCCCTTTTACTTTGAAATCTTCTTCAGAGATAGATACTCTGTGGGTATGGTTATTCATTAGCCCATAAACCCAGTACACATTTATTATCTTTTCAGCAAGGCCATGTTGAATGACTTGGTCTAATTTCTCACTGAATTAAAAATGGGATACAGTGGGAGGAGTGTGGGTTTTGGAGCTAGATATAGTTGGATAGAAATCCTTGTTTAATTACTTATTAGACTGTGACCTATGATGAATTGCTTGAATCTCTGAGTCAGGATTTCCTCATTTCTAAAATGGTGAAAAATACTCTATCTTATAGAAAAGCTGTGACAGAATAAAGTATCAGAAATATGATGTGAAGATGTACTTTGGACTTATCTATTCAACATATATTTAGTTAGTTCCTACTGTGTATGTACTATGGAGATATAAAGGTGAATTATACACAGATTTTTATTTTGGCCCTCAAGAAAAACTCCCAAGCGTTTATGCTAATGCAAGTTATCATTAACGTAAATGTTACGTCGTAGCAGCCAATGATCGTGACGTACTGCATAATGTTCTTAATTGCGCTTATTTGCCATTGAATTTTTATGATCAATTCAGGCCATATTCAGAATAATTCCTAAATATAGAAACTGCTTTCCACCCACTCTCTCTCCGAAATGCAGCTCAAAACAAACTTCTTTCACTGCAAGCTTACAAAAGCAGTGGGAAGCAATCTGATGAATGGAGAGCGCGTTGCCACTCTAACCTTTCATTACAAACCAAGAGGAGGGAAATGCTTTAAATCATTCCGGTTTTATAAAGTGTGAGGCACATAGGGAACCAAACATCCCATTGACAAAGCGACGCCTGGGCATGCCTCGACATTGACCCATTGTGATCTGTGTAAATCACTCATTACTGCTTAGCTCACATGCCTGGCAGACGCTTGATCCTTTCAGATTTGTTTTGCTCACTTCTAAAGGACAGCCCTTGAACAGAATTGGACTGAAGAGTTTCTGATTGCATAGACAGGAATCAGACCCCAGGCTCCAGTCAGCTTTGGATTTAGGTCAAAAGAGTCCAAACTCCAAAGCAACCCCTTGGCCCCTTTCGTTGCATTTGTCGGCCAAGGTGCCATTAATTTTCTTTTGCTTATTTTTTAAGAGGAGAGAAGCTGTGCATCTTGTTCTTTTGATCATAGATGATGTCATCATATTCGTAAGGGAAAGGTCAAGACTTCTAAATGGCATCCTAGTTAAAGAGTGCCAAGTAATTTTATTAGTCTTTATGGTCAGCAGAATTTTGGCCCCCATGACCTTTGACTTCTTATGAGTTGTCACACTTGTTAGTATGTTTCATTAGATGGCAAAGCGGACTTTGGAGGTACAATGAAGGTTATTAATCCTTAAAAGGCAACAGGGGTGGCAGAAGAGTGTGCTAGCTGGAAGAGGGAGAGAGCCAATGGAAAGCGTGAGAAGGAACTGAATTGCCAATGTCTTGAATGTCCCTGGAGGCAGACTTTCCCACAGAGCTTCAGAAAGGAATGCAGGCTCCCTAACACCTTCATTTCAGCCACGTGGGCTCTCGACCAGAACATCCAGCCAGCCGCACTCTGCCGACGTCTCACCTATTTTGACAATTTTTTAGTGACTACCTATCCCATTGAGCTTAGGTTCTATGGGTATAACTCTATTTTTGAGTTCATGTTTTATTGGCTTGTGTCACATTTAATTACATAATTATTATAACAGTGCAATTGGTCAAAACAGCGTTTGGAATAAGCCACACTGAAACTTATAAGCATCAATTGCATCAGTAACAAAAGTGAGCAGAGGGTACCGAAGGCAGCTCGCAGTGGTGGGTATTCGGTCATGTGGACATTGGTCGGTACGGTTTACAGAAAGGGTGGGAAACATCAATGAACCCATAGAGGCTCTGAGATGGCAGTCACTAAGGGAGCTTCAAATGCTTCTCGAACTCTGCCGTGCATCAGAGCTATCTGGGTGGCTTGTGAAACACAGGTGATGCTAGCTCTGCTGGTCCGGGGAACACACTTTGAAGACCACTGAACTACAGCCAGTTTTGGCGGAGTGGATGGGACAAGTCTCTTCAGACTTCAGCACGCAGAAAGTGGGAGGCCAGGCGTTACCTTTCCATCTGTCTCTCTACCTGTCCACCTTCGAGTGGGCAGACATTAGGTGTTCTGTTACACTTACAGCTTGGTATCCTATTGAAATTTTTAATTTTTTTCTGCATCTACTTTGGAACTTTGGAATTTGAGAGAGGATGTGATGAGGGCTTTCCATGTCTGCATGTTCATTGTTTTCTGCCTCCTGCACACCCCCCTCCTGGGGATCAAGTCCACAACCTGGACATGTGCCCTGACTTGAAATAGAACTGCTGACCTTTTGGTGCATGGGATGACACTCAACCAACTGAGCCACACCGGCCAGGGCAGGCATGCTGTTTTCAAATCACATGTCCCCTCATCTCTTTACAGAAAAAAACACACCGTTTTTGTCTTTCCAAAAACATGTGTCTGGCAAGAGCTGACCAGCTGCAGGGTGGAAAGACAGTAGTGTGGGTGTATTGTCAGTAAGCTGAAGTCAGAGGCACATTATCTGATTGCTCTGTAATCTCCCTTTCAGAACTGGCTGACGGAGCTGGAGATTTTTGCTATCATCTTCTCAGCTGCCATCCATGACTACGAGCACACGGGAACCACCAACAACTTCCACATCCAGACCCGGTGAGGACGTTGAAATGTGTGGAGGAGAGGCAAGAGGGGCCAGGGAGAGGGTTTTTAAGCCAGCAAAGAGTCAGTCACCTTTCTTTTGTATGGTTGCTCTCTTTTGAGTTTCTGGAAAAATGAATTAAAAAAAATTTTAAATATATTTTTATTGATTTCAGAGAGGAAAAGGGAGAGAGAGAGATGGAAACAATAATGAGAGAATCATTGATTGGCTGCTTCCCGCACCCCCCGTATTGGGGATTGAGCCTGCAACCTAGGAATGTGCCCTGATGGGGAATCGAACCATGACCTCCTGGTTCATAGGTCGATGCTAACCACTGAGCAACACCCACCGGCTGGGCTGGAAAAATGAATTTTAATCAAGAGACCAGCTGGGTGAGTTTAGATCAAGACTTAGAGTGTAAAGTCATCTGCTCCTAATTCTCATATTTTATTCACATCTAATATGCATCTCCTTTTCCTCTCTTCTAATGCTAGCTCCTTGGTACCTATTTTTAATAGGAGCTGGAGCAATGTACAGAAAGGCACAGATGCCATGTAGACTAAATCAGTGGGGACGGGCAAGGACTAGAGTGTCTTTGTTGACGTGAACAATAACTGAGCCTTCTCACCCTCTGACCTCTGGGATTCTGGTGGTGCTCATCCCAGTCTCCCTAATTCTATCTCTGCTCTGTTCAGCGGCATAGGCTTGGGGAGTTAGGACCACCAAGTTGCCATGGTGAATGTCTCATGCAGGCCTTTCACCATGGGCAACTTCTGCACCCTCCCTAGCAAAATTCTGCGGGGCTATTAAATACGGTCCAAGTGCCCGACACTGAACCTGTAGACTGACACAGACATCACTAATCAATTTGGGTATTTTTTTCTTACTAGCTATAGACTTATCCTTCATAGTCCTCTCAGTACAGAATCCCAGGCAGCTGTACCATCAATTGTCATTTGCATTTAGAATGAAACCTTATCTGCCCTCTCCTGGACTCAGGACTTACCTTCTCTTAAGACAAAGATTCAGAACTAGAGAGAATCTGGCAGTAGGGTTAACTGGGCCTTGACATACGAATCAAAAGAAGCGACGCCCTAACTGATTTGGCTCAGTGGATAGAGCGTTGGCCCTTGGACTGAAGGGTCCTGGGTTCAGTTTCAGTCAAGGGCACATATCTTGTTTGCAGGCTCTATCCCTGGCCTAGTTTGGGGCTTATGTGGGAGGCAACCAATCGATGTGTCTCTCTCAGATCGATGTTTCTCTCTCTCTGTCTCTTCCCTCCCCACTCTCTCTAAAAAAAACAAAAATCAATGGAAAAATATCCTCGAGTGAGGATTAACAACAACAAAAAAGAAGCTAGAATTTGGGGAAAGGTGACAAAGCAAAGAGAAAGAAGATGGGGGAGGGGCGAGTTTAACACCAATAAATACCTGCTGATTTCACTGAACGAGCAGGTGCACAGTTCAGATAGGTTTGTGTCCATAAATCCATCCACATGTATTTAATGAACCCGGCACTTAATTGTGGGCCACACAAAGGACGGCAGTATCCTCCGATCTGTGTTCAATAGAACGGAAGCAGACAAAAGGACTTAAGCCGTTCGCTTCATTTTCTGCCTCCTCCCTCCTCACGTAGAGCAGTCTCAGCTGCTGGGAAACAGTCTTTATGGCCCTGTTGCAAAGTCTTTAAACACAGGGAATTCCACAGAGCGGTTTAGTGGAAGCTTTGCTCTGAAGACAGAGAGTAGCACCTGCCAAAGGGAGAGAGGTGGATGAAAGAACCGTACCTGGATCATGGCTGGAGGCCAGCGTCAAAACCGGTCACAACGCAGAGAGAGATTAATTTCAGGAGTTGGAAAATAGCTTAATGTCACAAACACACATCAGTTAGTGCCTTCATTACCTAGCAGGCACCAGATCAGATGGCTCGCCCCAAGATTTTTTTTTTTGTGCTGTATCTTCATAGGAGTGGGAAAACTCCAGGGGGCTCAGTAAAGTGTGGTTTGGAGTGAAGTGTGGACATTGGCCTTCTCTAACAGAACTTTATCTAAAGCATCCCAGCCTGTGTGCCCCCTGTTCCGAAAACCAAGTCTGTGACCAGGTCCTTTGTCCTTGGATGGTATGTTAGGTCTAATACTTTAAAGGTGTGCTAGATAAATTTCAAAGTTTGGCTAATGACAGGTGGAAGTTATCTTGGGGGGCAATGGCCCCACTGTCAGAGATCTCGCCTTCATCCCAACCCTGACTCTTAGCCACTGTGGGGCTCTGTGGAGTCACTTTACATCTCTGGGACTCAGCTTCCTTGATGAGAAACCAATAGGCTGTAATAATCTCAGATTTCATTAAATTACGGATATAGAAATAGTATACAACTCTGTGTTTGCTGTCATTCAATTGTGGAATGGTCTTTGAAAAAGTGACTAACAGTTGTCATATAATCCTTATATTCTTCACACTGTTTTCTATGTGTGGCTTCTGCATCGTAACATTTAAGACCAGACCTGGCTGGTTTGGCTCAGTGGATAGAGCATGGGCCCACGGACCGAAGGGTCCCAGGTTCGATTCCGGTCAAGGACATGTACCTCAGTTGCAGGCTCAATCTCTGGCCCCTGTTGGGGCATGTGCAGGAGGCAACCAGTCGACATGTCTCTCTCACGTCAATGTTTCTCTCTCTCTGTCTTTCCCCCTCCCTCCACTCTCTCTAAAAATCAATGGAAAAATATACTCTGGTGAGGATTAACAAAAAATAAGCAATTTTAAGATCAAGCTACAACCAGAGGAACTTGCAAGCTGTACCTGCCAGGTGGTATGTGTTCAGAGAACTAGAGATAAAATAAATTCTTTTATTTAATAAAAACATTGAAGTTGTTCTAGAAAATATAAGGAAATTTGACTTGACCCACATTTAAAAAAATTATCTTTGCTGCCACCAGCAAAAATCGTGGAGGTCTGCTTATTAACAGTTTTCAGAGAGTTCTCAGATTGGGTGGCACCTATTTTACATCCACATATTGACATTAAAATACCCTACGTATATCAATTGATCATTTACAGTGTTCGTTTTAGCTTTTTTGTTGACATAAATGGCATCGGGGCGAAAGTAATTGCTAAACACAGGGAAAAGAGATGGTGTATTCTAGCTTGAAAGAGTTAACCTGACAAGTCTCAACTGTTTAATGTACCAGATTATTTTTTGGCTTTCTGTTCAGGTCCGACCCAGCTATTCTGTACAACGATAAGTCTGTATTGGAAAATCATCACTTAAGTGCAGTTTATCGCCTTCTGCAAGAGGATGAGGAAATGAATATTCTGATCAACCTCTCCAAGGATGACTGGAGGTAAGGATGAGACAGGGAGGCCAGGAAAGGAACAGTAAGGAGAGATGAAGTACTAGTATGCTGCTTTGAAGAAATCCATTAACCAAAAGATAACTTACACTTAGTCTCCTGTTTCTTTGTAGGAAAGCAATTTTAATATCTGATAGATTTGTTCGGATACATAAGTGCATTTGACCTTTTAGGATCTTTGTAGATGAACGTGTTACCATTTATTTACATGGCATTTCACTTTCAGCAGGCTGGATAAGCTGCTAATAAGCCAGTCCTCCTGCACATAATGGCTATAAACTATGATCAAATACAAACAAACAAACACAACCCCACTGACTTGAGAGTGCACAAACTTAGGCACATTTTGAAGGGGTGTCAATATCTGGAGACTGTGACAGGATGAAGGGAGTGTGACATTTTTGTGACTTCACCCTGAAAACAGTCTGTGTCAAGGCAACAGCACTAGTTGGCTAAAACCATATTTATACAAAACCTTCACTGTGTTTCTGGCTAGAGAGACCAGGTTAGGAACAACTAGAGCTGCTATCGAGTGAGTTAAAACCCCAGAAAAGAGAGAGTCAAAAAATAAGGGGAAACTCAAATTCTGTGACCATCTCAATGGCATGCAAAGAACAGGAAAATGTGACTTATTTGCAGGGGAAAAGACAATCAATAGATGCAGTCTCTCAGATGAACTGTTGTTGGAATGATCAGACTAGGACTTTTAAAGCAGTTCTTTTTTTATGCTCAGTGAGGTAAAGGGAAATATGCTTGTAATAAAGTACAGTAAAATTTAACCAGTGGAATGAAAATATAAACAAGAGCAAACACATTTTAGAACTGCCAAGTCAAATATTTAAGTTGAAAAATTACTACACTGGCTTAGTAGCAAGTTGGAGAAGACAGAGGAAAGAATCAGTGAACTTGAAAACATCAATCAATATTATCCAGTTTGAAGATTAGGAAACAGGAGTAGCTGAGGGACCTGTGAGACAGTTTCAGGCTCAAGTTAGATTACAGATGTCACAACTAATTGACAGATTTGGTTGGGAAGTGGCAAAAAATAAACTAATTTTTACTTTCCGTTTTTGACTTTCACCTTTTTTTCCTCCATGGGGTGTCCCTGAAAGGGAATTTCGGACCTTGGTAATTGAGATGGTGATGGCCACGGATATGTCCTGTCATTTCCAACAGATCAAGGCGATGAAAACTGCTCTGCAGCAGCCGGAAGCGTGAGTGTGTCTGTGTCACTTGTTTTTTTATAGGTGTTTGAGCTGGAACTGGCCCATGTCATTGCTTCTTTTAAGTGTACCTCCTTCAGAGAACTTTGTCAAAAAGTCTCATAGTAACTGGAGATGTTTGGAGGAAAAAGCATGAGAACTGTATATATCACAGATTCTCATCAGGGTTGAAATATATAAAAGAGGCCATAATAATTTGTCCCAGTTAGAACTGAAAGTATTTTCCTGCAGGAAACCAAATTATCAAAGATCTACTCAATGCAGAGGTGACACACACAAGTCAGTGTGTGACTCTTGGAGTTTTGTCTTTTTGAATGAGCCAGTCATTGCAGAAATCATTTTGAGTCCATTTTTGAAGTGTCCAGCTCCACACACATGGAGACCTAGCTGGTGGATATTCCAGTTGTAGGATGATGCGATGCTTTCCCCTCAGTTCAGCCAAAGTGGGGCTTGACACAGGAGAACAGGAGAGATTAAAAAATTAATGCTTTTTAAAGAAACTCTTATTGAGGTTCTGAGAGCTTGATCCAGCATGTGCTTGGTTCCTTTGGGTTCACAGGATTGAAAAGCCAAAAGCATTATCCCTGATGCTGCACACGGCAGACATTAGCCATCCTGCGAAGGCGTGGGAGCTCCATCACCGCTGGACGATGTCACTGCTGGAGGAATTCTTCAGACAGGTACCTTGTGCTACCCCTCAGGGCTTTCATCACTGGATAGTTTCTGAATTTCAAATTTCAGCAATGCTATGAGATCACAGTAATTTTCTTGAGGAGGCAGAGTTTGCAGATTTTTTTTTTTTTTTTTTTTTTGCCTCCTGGTCATGTGATATTTGAATCTTACTTACATTCTGACTCTCAAAACATTATGGTATTTCTATCCTATCCATTTCTATTTGAAAAGAGAAAAAGCAGTTTCTTGTGGCAGTGTTTTATAAAAATGTCATCAGAGGAGCCCTTTGGTTTATGTATTTTTCTAATGGGCCGACCAAATGTTGACCAGTTTGGCATTCTCCTGTGGGATTAAGATGTTAATCTTTTACTGTTATAATTGGTTGGGTTGTTTCTTTTGAGCTGGCAAACCACATTGTCAAATTCCAAAGCCCGGTGTGGTAATTTGGGGTCAGGAAACTAGAAGCCACTGTGTAAATTATATTTATGGGTGTACATTGCTTTAAAAAATGTTTTTAAAGGTGCACAAAAGTAGAAGGATAGAAAGGAAAATAAATGTGTTGCACTGAGATTGATATCTTCTTGCCTGGCCAGCATGGCTCAGTGGTTGAGTATCGATCTATGAACCAGTAGATCACAGTTCAATTCCCAGTCAGGGCACATGCCCGGATTGTGGGCACAATCCCCAATGTGGGGTGTTCAGGAGGCAGCCGATCAATGATTCTCTCTCATCATTGATGTTTCTATCTCTCTCTTCCTTCCTCTCTGAAATCAGTAAAAAATATTTTAAAAAGAAGACTGATATCTTCTCAAGAAGAGTTGCCATTAAAACATCTGCTTCGAGATGTGAGGTCCTGAGGTTGAAGGTGTTGATGTGAGAAACGTTCAGATCTCTAAGTCAAACTGACAACCGTTGCCAAGAGCAAAATCTCCAATGCTGTGGAGAATGACAGCTTTGCAGTTTCCTTTATACATTTGGAATTAAGAAGGGAATGTAAGGAAGGTTACATGAAGGTGGGAGAAAGCAAGGCGAGGATTGGAATTGCAGGATAGTTAACAAGGTTATGTGCTCTCTTGAGGGTGGTTATGCTTCTGAGGAGTCTGAAAAGAGGTGCTAACCTAGATGCATAGAAACAATGGACAGGGCTTGCTTCAGGCAAAGATAAACCTTTTGCTAAAGAAGTTACATGCCTGGGGTGTGACTGTCCACCATGACCTGCCCAGTTAGGAATTTATGATCAGATCACCTTGTGAGGTCACTCTCAGTTAGATTTATTATAGTACCCATTCTTTCTTTCACAAAGGCAGTAGGTCATGTAGATTGTGGGACCTAAATTAGAGTTAATTCAAGTTAATGCTGTTAATTAAGTTAATTCTTACTAATTCAAGAAGGGAGATTCACATCATAGATTCAGAGGCAGCTGATATTCCACAAAATATTTCTTAACACTGGTCTCAACTTTGTCTCCTAAAGTAACAAGAGATATGCTCTTTTACTGGTTACTCAGATTTTTGGAAGGGAATTACTCTTATTCTTATGCTTCTAGTTTAAATGGAGAAATTGTAGAAGGCATCTAAGGGTTGTACTTCTTCTGAACTTGTGTGCAATATCTGGAAATGAAGTGGGACTAGAGCTAACAGCATATTAAAGTCCAGAAGGCCTTTTATTGGAGTTTTTTTTATTCCAACTGGTTTGTGGCCTGGGACTAACCAAATTATTCCTCTAGTTCTCAGTGGTCTTATTTGTGATTTGGGTTTTTTGTTTTGGGGGGGGTAGGAGGAGTTGGTGGAACTTAAAGGAAGGTTAGGCTAGATGTCTTCTTAGGGTCCTTCCAGCATTAAATGTTCTACATTTTCTTCATTTTGTCGATGGTGCATATCAACCCATACGCATACACCCCTAAATTGTTATATGGATACAGTGGCAGGTACCTCATTCAGCATATGGCTTTTTCCTCTTGCAGTCACTGCTTGGCCTCACAGAGTAGTTCTCAAGGAGAACCTGATGGCATGGGAGGAACTAGAAAAGTACAGGTGTAGCTCTGTTGTATATATGAGAATGACTCTGCAAATTCATCCTTAATCAAGGGCTAATTTTGAGCCATTTTTCCAGAAGCTATTTTTCTAATATGAGTGAGAATATTTTCTCCAAACATCCACTTCCCTTATCATATGCTTTCTTTGATGCTGCTTTTGCAATACACCCCTATAGCTAATAGTATTTGATCTGCAGCCAAAGTTAGATCATAGCTAACTCATGTAAGTTTGAGGTATTGATTTCTTTTTTTAATTGTGAGAGAGTGAATATGAGAAATTACTTAAATATTTGAACATTTTTACCCATAAAGGAAACCTTGTTTGCATATATATATGCTTGAATTGAATGAAAATGTGCTAGATAGAGGCAATGTGAAAAAAGCCAGATTGAATTTCTTGCCTATTGGGAATGAAATGTTAGCTCAATGCACCAGAATGGTTTTTTAGTAATTATGATTCAGTAAATTATTTTTATTGATTTAATATTTTAACCTAGATGTCATAAGCCATTGTAAGTAACCCACATAAGAGAAGTGTTGCCTTACTCTTAGCTGTAGATTTTAAATTGGACAGTTCAAATGGGGACTCTCAACGGGACCTTAGAATCCTTGAAAAAATTACATTTGGAAGTTGAATTATATTTCAAAATAAGGGCAGAGCCTCAGTATTGATACTAGACCTTTTAGGCTTTGCTGAAGAATAAGTTACATCTTTAGGTTTTTTTTTCTTTTAATGTATTTTTATTTATTTCAGAGAGAAAGGGACAGGGAAAGAGAGATAGAAACATCGATGATGAAAGAGAATCATTGATCCGCCGCCTCCTGCACGCCCCACCTACACTGGGGATTGAGCCCACAACTCGGGCATGTGCCCTGACCGGGAATCAAACTGTGATCTCCTGGTTCATAGGTTGATGCTCACCACTGAGCCATGCTGGCTGGGCACATCTTTAGTTTTATAACCCTATTTTACAAAATCCAAGCCACTGCCTCAGGGTGATTTTCAATAAAATATTGACTTTAATGAAGTGTACATTTGCCTTTTTGAAAAATACATGTTGTTAAAGTCTTGAGGTTCGTTTCTGCTGTAGTGCTGTATATTTTTATATTTTGTAGATGTCCCCTGTAATTCTTTGAATTTCCTCTGTGTCTGAGAGTATTTTCTCATTTTTATTTCTCATTTCGTATATTAGTGTTTTCCCTTTCTTCTCTATGAAGTTAGATATTTGTTTCATTGGTTTTTTTTTATTTTATAATGCCTTATTTGATGTTTCCATTTTTATTAATTCTTTTCTTCAATTTGAATTTATTTTGTTCTTTTGCTAAGTCCCTGAGTTGAGCACTTCATTCATTTCTTTGTGTTCTACCTGTTTAATATGAGAGCACACGAGGCTAGGTGTTTGTCTTTTTTTTTAATTATTATTATCATGAATCTCAGAGGTTCTGCTATGCACCGTGTTCACAATGATTCTTTCCTAAATATTCTGTAATTTCAGTTTAGATTTTATTTTTTACCCAAGTTGCTTCAGATAGAGGTGTTTGTCTATATAATTTTCCAGTGGTAGGTTCTTTTGCTTTCTAGCATTTGATCAAAGAACTTTTTCATTGTTTGGATTTTATTGTGAGATTTATTTGTCACATACAATCAATTTTTGTGAATATTCACAGGTCTTGAAAAATAGATTTATTTCTTGTGGAGGCTAGACATCAAAGAACACCAGAAACATATATAAATACCTCATTAATGATGTCATTTAGGTATTTTATATATCATAAAAAAATTGGTCTATCATGGTTTGAAAATATTGACCTCCTTAGTAAAGAAAGAAGTGTATAAATAATTCCACAACGACCAGTAGTTATATAGATATAAAATATTATATCAATCAAGTTGGATTTACCTGTAGAAGTATATTTTTTCATATTATTTTCCACACATTTTTTGCTCATTCATAAGTGTGTCTGTCTTCCAAAGGGAATTCAATGACCACTATTTTAAAATAGGCTTTTAATAGTTGAGTGTACTCAGCTCAATTAAGTCTCAAAGATGTATGTGTTATGTAGATGTGGGTGTGGGCAAGGTATGGGATAAGCTGTTTAACATGCACTTTTTCAGTAATAAAATTCAAACTAATGCTAGGGAAGGGCATGGGGAAGGTAGAAGAGGGTAAAGGGGGGGGTAAATGGTGATGGAAGGAGACTCAACTTGGGGTGGTGAACACAATACAATATACAGATGATGAATTATAGAATTGTATACCTGAAAGCTCTATGCTTTTATTAACCAGTGCCACCCCAATAAATTCAACAATTTTTTTTTTTATAAAAGAACGCAGCTTCTCACACTGAAAACAAAAATGCTCTCCTCTTACTTGTCAAGTGGTTAGTATTCACCACCCCTTCTTCCAAACCACCCCCATTAAATGTACCAGCAAAACAACTTGTGTCCCTGCTTCGTAGAGAGAAGAGTGGGCTTTGTTTATGTCAGCTGAAGCATGCCACTCAACCATCTGCACAACTACAATGTATGTTATAAATATTCTTCTCTCTGTTCATCCTGCTCAAGCAGAAATAGCTCAGGAGTAAATAATTTTTTTTTCCAGTAGGAGTTTCTTTTTTTTTAAATCTTTATTGTTGAAAATATTACATTATGTCCCCTTTTTTCCCCATTGACCTCTCCCCCATCCCCCCAGGCCTTCACTAGTCTATTGTCTGTGTCTGTGGGTTATGCATCTATGCATAAATAATTTTTATCATGCTACTTGAGAGAGAGAGAGCAGCTTTCAGCAAGGCATCCTGGGAAACAGGAGCATTGTCTCCCAGGGATGTCCACACAGGGGCGGGGGGTTGCAGATGGAACTGAGCCACTTCAGGACTGTTCTGAGACCCTGGGATGTCTCCAGCACCCATGGGGACCCCGCTGCTCAGCTTCCTCATACCCCCATTCCTTTTCCTTCCGTTCAATAGAGATGTGTGTGTGAACTAGCATTCTTTCTCTTTGGTAACCGGCCTTGGAAAGAAAAGGCATTGTTTTGAACTAGGCCTAGTTTTTGAACCAGGTTGTTATTACTCTTCATTTGTTATTAATTTATTGGTGATATTTATTATAATCACAGTATATTTGATGTAACAAAGTCACTGAATGTTTCTCAAATTTTGACCTAAATATTAGAGATACCCATTGGGAAATAATTATAGTTCTTTTTATTTACTTGCACACATTTTCTCATTCAATCCTCACCATCACCCGATGAGGTAGACATTATTATTCCAAATTTTATAGATTGAAAAACTGAAAGGTAGAGAGAGAAGGTAAACTTCCTTTGATCACACAGCTAGTGGGAGGAAGGCCAGAGTCAAGCCCAAGGCAGTAGCCATTAACCCGAGCAGATTCTTTCATAATAAAATGGATGAACACAGCGTGGCCACAGTTATTATGGTGACATGTTCCCTTTCCTCGGGTGTGTGACTGAAGGGCTGAGCTTCTGGTTCAGGATTTAAAAACCATCATCATTCCTTAGACTTTCCATGGCACCTGCTCATTACAGTGGTGCTTTTTGGAGGACTGTGAATAACGTTTTATTTATTGCCTAACGCTACAAACACAAGCAATTATTTACTGCTCTGCCTGCTCAGTCCACTTTTCATTACGGTCTGGGGCCTGTGCCTGAGAACCCAGAAGCACGTGCACTAGTTGTGTGTGGTTTTAGGTAGCAAAGGAGAGGAAATTCACATCAGCCAGTTGGAATTTTTCTTCTTTAAAAAATATAGTTTTATTGATTTCAGAGAAGGGAGAGTGGGAGAAAGAAACATCAGTGATGAGAGAGAATCATTGATTGGCTGCCTCCTGCATGCCTGCCACTGGGGATTGAGCCCACAACCCGGGCATGTGCCCTGACTGGGAATCAAACTGTGACCTATTAGTTCACAGGTCAATGCTCAACTATTGAGCAGCACCTGCTGGACTGAATTTGTGTCTTGAACACTGCCCGCAGCTGGGAGGGAGTCACTGGCTCAAGAAAGGCCTCAGGTGTCAACAATAGACAATTGGAAAACAGGTGGTAGCCCTGAGTGCCATGTTGGCCCCAGGCCACAGGATGCTTCACTTTCCGTGGTGTCCAGTGAGGCCTTCTGTGCCACAGCGGGCGCCTCTGCAGTGGGGGGGAAGGATGGAGCCTAGCAGCCTCCGGTCTCTTGGTGTCTCTTGTGCAGAGAAGCAGGCCCCATAAGGACTTGGTACCTAATGTAATGGTAATAATGAAAATAAAGGCCACTGGACTTCGTGGCAGCTGAAGTTGCTGCATGAAATCTGGGTGGCTTGGCCTACTGCTCTTAATTTACCGTGGCCTCCTGTGATTCTAGGGGGACAGAGAAGCAGAGTTGGGGCTGCCTTTTTCTCCTCTGTGTGACCGGAAGTCGACCATGGTTGCTCAGTCGCAAGTAGGTACGTGTTTGCCAGGCTTTGGAGAGAAGGAAAGACCTGAGAGGGGTGTCCGGACGTGAGGGCAGAGGCTCCCAGTGCCTCCCCGGCTAGAGCCGGGCTCCATTCTTCTGGGCTCTGCTCCTGGCTGCAGCTTGGTGGGTTGATGGAGCTGCTCTCCCCACCCTTCTCCCCAAAATGGGCTGTTTCATGGGAAGAGTAGACGGTGACATCGCTGTCTCCATCATTCCCTGCCAAGAGAAAAGGGGCCTCAACTTTCCAAGGTGATGAAGGAGTCAGTGGCAGGAAGCCCATTTTTCCTGCAGCCATGGAAGTCTCATGCCACTTCCCTACTCCTACAGTACCCTGCTTCCGGGAATGGCTCTTTCTAATCCCCTCCCTCCCTTCCTTCCTTCCTTTTCTTTCCTTCCTGCCTCCCTCCCTCCCTCCCTCCCTCCCTTCCTTCCTTCCTCCCTTCCTCCTCCTTCCCTCCCTTCCTTTCTTCTTCTTTCCTTCTTTTTCCTTCCTTCCTTTCTTCCTTCCCTCCTTCCTAAAAACTTTTGAGCACCTTTTCTGTGTGGTAAGAATAACTTTTGCTTGCACTGCTACTAACCGTAGTGTATGTGCATTATAAAAATCCTTAGCTACGAGAGCCCCAGTGTCACTAAAGTAAATGTCACAGTGCCCTCCAGCTGAAAAGAATCTGAAATCATTCAAAAAATAAATTCAATAAGGATTTGATTTTTTTCTACTTGTGTTTTGAGTACTCATTTTTTTTTTCATAATAACGCATATTATTGAGGCCCTTTTAGGTTTAGAGCACTGCTAGACATTATAATAGATGTTAAAAAAACAAAGACAAATTATACATGGTACCTGCTCTCAAAGACATGGAACCAATACAGTGGGGCCTTGATTACGAGTTTAATTCGTTAGGAGACCGAGCTCGTTAAGGAGCTCGTTAACTCAAATTACTCTGTCAACTCAGTGCAAAAAATCCTCCTGAGAGACAGCTGATATCTCAAAAAACTCGTTAGTCGGGACACTCATAAGTCAAGGCCCCACTGTATTTGGTGGTGGGCGAGATGTTATGAAAACAAAATCCATTAGAGTGTTACAGTGTTAAGGTAGTTTTGTACTTCATGTAATCAGGGGCAAAACAGAGTGTGCGGGCCAGGAAGACTTGTTGAGGGGTGACATTTGAGTTGGGTCCTAAGAGATAAGTAGGCAAATGGAGCTATGCAATACAGGTGTGCTTGGGGGATCTGGGAGGGCATTTCAGACAAGGGATTAGCATATACTAAGCAGGGAAATTTAAAACAGTCTAGGAAGACCAGGGAATTACAAACAGTTCCATATGGCTGGAGTACTGGGTAGAGAGCAGAATGAAGCGAGAGACATGTTGAGAGAGAAAATCAGGCCCAAATTATGGATTGTATAAAGAGAGCCTGCGCTTTGTACTTCCCTGTCGGAAGTGAGGGCATATCTAAAGCATTTTAGGTAAGGCTTAAGCACATATACATTGATGGGCTAAATTTGGGGCCCTGCTTTGGGCTCCTCCTTGGTTTCTTGTATTCTAGGGGTCATGTTTATGCTCATTTAATGTCTCCTATAAACTGAAGGCAGGCAGGGTATGTCACACCCTTAGTCTTTTATGCAGGGCCTGCACAGCATTTGTTGCATTGGGGATGTTGAATTCATATTTTTAAGCACTTGATTGGAACAATCTACTGAAAAGTCAGGAAAATTCTGTGGGAGAAACAGCTGACTCACGATATTCAAATCAAGGAATATATTAAGTGAATGAGACCCCGATCTGATCTGGGGCTCCTGTGTAGGCGGGTTTAAGAGCTAGCACTCCTCAGTTTCGGGGGGAAGTACCGAAAGGCCCCAGTGAAAATGCAGTTTCCCTGGAGCATTGCTGTCTCTCCGCAGGTTTTATCGATTTCATTGTGGAGCCCACCTTCACGGTGCTCACGGACATGACTGAAAAGATCGTGAATCCGCTAATTGAGGAGACCTCCCAGACAGGCGGGACAGGACAGCGGCGTTCAAGGTCAGTGGAGAAGCTCAAAGACTGGGATCAGATTGGCCTGTCCCTGAGGGTAGAACTCTTTCTTTGGAAGGGATGGGGGTGTGTTTCAGAATGATGCTTGTCCTCCCTCCTTCCTATAAGAGAGCTGTCTGCCTTTTCCTTTTCTCAGAGGAGTTGAAGTTATACTATTTGCACTCTCCGGGCTGGCCTGGAAGGGAGTGACCATGGTCTAAATGATGATTGGCAGGTGCCCAGTAGAGCATCTCTCTCCCGCTCATTCTCTCTCTTTGGTGCCTTTGCTCACGGCAGGTTTAAGCATCCTGATCCCCTTACTTATTAGCTGTGCATTCGAAGGCAAGGTGCCTCAGTTTCCTCATCTGAGAAAATGTGGATTATAATACTCAGAGGTTACAGGGAGGATTAACTGAGTGGTTCAATCTCTGTAAAGCCCTGATAACAAGGTCCAGCACAGAGGAAGCACCAGTTACAATTGAGCTGACACTTAGCCTTTATTAGTAGTATTCCTACCCCTTCTCCTGTCCATGCCAAACCTTGGGCTTTGTTATGCAGGAGAAAGGAAAGAAATGGAATGAAAAGACAAAAGAGCAGAAAAGAGCAAGAGGAGGAGCCAACAGCGAGATGGGATGGCAAGAGGAATGTTAGGACAGTGGGACCCTAGGGACACTCAAGGCGGTTGGACCCAGCCAAGGCTGCAAACAAGGAGGACTGAAGGCCCCTGTCCGACTCCCACAGCCCCACAGCTCTGCAGACACTGGGCTCAAATGTACTCTGCTTACATAGTCAGCCTTGGGAGTCATCCAGTGGGTTGGCATTCATGCCAGTCACTGCTTAGGCGCCTGGGAATGTGTGATACTTTTCTTTAAAGTTACCCAGAAGGATGGTACTTTCTAAGTTTGCGAAGTATCTCATGTTTAAAGCGTAAAGTGATATTGATATTTAAAAAAGGCCTCTTGGATGACTGCTCTCCACCTTGCCCCAGGAACATGAGGAAATCTCCCTGCCCTGGCCTCGGGGATCCAGCGATCAGAGGCACCCAGCTGCAGGGGGAGGCATGGCTGGGGAGAAATAGGACTAAGTAGCTGAGTGACTTGGAATAGTGGTCAGTGAGGAAGCAGGTGGATCAACTGTGGAACCAAGTTGAAGTTCAAGTTCAAACTACTTGGTTGCAGAAAATCGAGGACAGAAAGATCACATAGGAGATTCTAGTCATGTTGATAAAGAGGATATCAATCAAGAACAACAACAAAACATAGGGACTGTCGCTACTCAGGAGGCTGAAATATTGATTTTCTTTTTCTGCTGAAAATACGGAATTTCCCATCTGTCACAAGTGGAAAAGGAGAATGACAAACCTCAGGACCCAGGAATTTCACAGCAATAACTTGATGATTGCGAACCACTCCTCGTTTGAGCCTGTTCACAGCCATACATTTCCCAAACACCAAACCGTCCTCTTCTGATCCATCTGCCTAATTCATTTCTTGTGTGTGATTTCCCCCCTATCCAGTTTGAACAGCCTCAGTTCGGCAGATGCAAAGCGATCGGGTTCCAAGAGCGCAGGCTCAGAAGGAAGCGCCCCAGTCAACAATTCCGTCATCCCTGTCGAGTACAAGAGTTTTAAAGCCACATGGACTGAGGTCGTGCACATCAATCGGGAGCGGTGGAGGGCCAAGGTGCCCAAAGGTAACCTTCTATTGGGGAATCTTCCAGGAGGTCGGTCCAAACCACCCAGCACCCACTCATACACAAGGCTTGCCACCCTCATTTATAGGTGTCATAAAGGGAGTGGAATCTCAGGATAGAGATTCAAGTGGCTGAATGTTAGCATTTACCCTTTTTTTAAATTTTATTTTTCAATTACAGTTGACATTAAATATTATTTTATACTAGTTTCAGGTGGATAGCATAGTGGTTAGACATTTATATAACTTACAAAGTGATCCCTCAATAAGTCTAGTATCCACCTGGCACCATACATGGTTACAATACTATTGACTCTATTCCTTATGCTAACTTTACATACCCATAACTACCAATTTGTGAAAAAGTATCCACCCTCTTTTGATCCTCATTCCATTTAAAACTCTATGCATGATAGGATGACGCAGACCTCCAGGCTTCTCTATAGCATGACCTTGACTGTTATGCCAGGTTCTGTGCCAAAGGTGCAGAGATGAGCAATAGACGTCCTTATCATCGAAGCTTCAGGGGGGTGGGGAGGTGGGGAAGGGGACATCACTATAGCGTTTCTTTCAAAGGAAGAAAGGGAGTTTAATGAAGGCCTTGTGCTCATCACCCACACCCACCAGCCCTGAGCGACCCTCACTGTAGGCAAGGAGGGTTTCACCCCCAAACACAGCATGCCATACTTTCACCCACCCAGTGTCTACACAGGGGAGAAGAGTGGAGGGGCTGCACTGAGCATGTGCTGGCCATCTCGGTTCCTTGTACATCCGGGTGCTGCTTCCAGGGAGGGAGAGAAGAGACCTCACTTGGAGTTAGAGTTATTCCAAGGACAACTACTGTGACTTACTCACAAAACCCTACCCAGGTGGCTGCTCATTTCAGGCAGGGCAATAGGTTTATATTTATGGCACTTTTAAGGCACCATTGGGCCCTTATCAATTCAGGACAAATGTTGCACCCTGAGCTCTAAAAGGAGCCTGTGCCTCTTCCATATTTTACAAATAGCCTCTCACAGTCCATTCAGAGGCCCTCGACATTTAAATCCTCCCCATTGGCAGGCGTTGCAGGCAGTGACGGTCACCACTGCGTCGTCTCCAAGGAAGCACGCACTTATAATCAATTACACTCATTACACTTCAAAACCCGGTTCCTGACAACACGCAGTGGGAAGAGAGGTGCTTCAGAGTCATTTGTTTGCAATCATCTGGCTTACTAAAATTACCTCCCGAAATGAATCACCTGGGGGAGCATTGGGCCGCTTCTTTACCAGGGGAAACCGGCCCTGTGAAAAGGACAGGTACATGAACAGCTAATAATTTTTAAATCTATTAGGTATGCGGATAGAGATATGCTTAAGCTATTTTGGAAGCATGAAAGGGCTTGTCCCTAATCCTGCTCGGGGTATTTGGAAGGCATCGGCAGCCAGGACTTGCAGGACGCCTGGGCTGGAGCCCGGAAGAAGGCATTGTATTTAGAAATAGGGAACAGAATTTAAGTTCTAGTAATAAACCAAGTCCTAATATAATGATTACAATACAGGAACTATGTCTTCTTCAGCTGAAATAAGAACAGTTGCCTAAATTGACAAGCCTATTTTATTAAAAGAAATTAATTTGATTTAATATTATAAACACATGCAGTTAATTCCTAGTGTTTATGGAGAAACTCCTGTCCTTAAGTACGATGTAATGTTTGCCAGTACTGTTAGTCTGGCCGGGTCTTAGTATTTGACTTGAAACCGTTAGGATGAAAACATATTGAATCAAAGTCACTTTGATGTGAGCTCAGATAACAGCAACAAAATATTTTTACTGATGTCAGTAACTGCTGCACAATGCTTAGTAAATAAGTAAAAAGAAGAAGAACAAAGAAATAGGGAACAGAGACAAAAGGGACAGGCCCATCCCAGGTTATGTATATATTGTGGGAGGATCATTTGGCCATCAAAGCAACTCCAGTTAGTAGCAATTTGAATCCCCACTCGCCTTGTACTCTTTGGCAAATGCAGGTAGATTCTTTGAGAAAATTCCATTTGGGGCAGGGGTGGGGAACATCTGGCCCGTGGGCCATGTAAAGCCCTCAACATCATTTGGTCTGGCCCTGCCAAGGCATTAGGGGTGAGTTAATTAAATGTTTGACCAAATAGAGCAGGCTAATTTTTAAGTTGATAATTTTTTTATGGCCCTCGAATGATGTTATAAATATCCAAATGGCCCTTGGCAGAAAAGAGGTTCCCCACCCCTGATTTGGGGGCTGATAATACACACCACAGAGCTATTGCTAAGAACAGAAAAGATACACAGTGTATACACACTTTAACAACTGATAGCTCAGTTTTGAAAATGAAATATATTTTAATAAACACTGCCTTATAAGTATTACAAGTTTGTGTATACATTTTTGGGGACACCCTGAATGTAAGGCACGGGGGACAGAGCCTGCAGGTGGCTGGCGCCTGTAAATCTAGCCGTTACTTTTCAAAGTTGGAAAGGAAAGTTGAACGCCCAGTTAAGAAGACTGTGGTAAAGTGGCCACCTATAACTAATATTTTATAACTAGAGGCCTGGTGCACGAAATTCATGCATGGGTAGGGTCCCTGGGCCTGGCCAGTGATCACGGCCAATTGGGGCCTTCCTTCCTCCAACTGCCAGCTGCTGGCTGGGGCCTTCCTTCATTCCACCCGTCCCCTGGTGGTCAGTGTATGTCATAGTGAGCAGTCGAACTCCTGGTCAGTGGAACTCCGGAGGCAATTTAATATTAGCCTTTTATTATATAGGATATTTTCAGCCTCCCAGTAATGCTGTTGACTGGTTGACAGGCATTAAGAAACACTAGTTTGTTTCCGTTAGTGATCAGTTTGAATTAGACTGTCCCAGGCTGTTTTGCTCATTGTTCTTCTTTAGAAAACCCTGACTTCATGAAAGCTCCCTACATGGGGCACTTGAACATGTGTTGTTATCAAACTGATCAGAAATGGGACTGGCTCTAAAGTCTTGATTCTATTAGCCAATCTGATTTACAAAGCTAGGTAGGCCAGAACCCATAGTTGTTAGGAAAGATTAAATCAATACCTTTTATAACTCTTAGAGCTGAAAAATCATTATTTCCAAACAAAGATGTATAGGTATAACCATTTTCAGGTCTGATCAATGTCGATAAATTTCCATTCATTATTTAATACTTTTTAAACCTTTTTTTTTTTTTTAAACCGGTGTAAGGATAATGCATGTTTAGGTTATAATGCAGAGATATAAATTAAAGAAATATATAAAAAGAAAATAAAGTCACTTACAGTCTCTCTAGCCAGATATAACTGTTATTGAAATTCTGATGTAATTCTTTTTTTGTTTGATTTACCATGCATTTACTAGTATATAAATAAAAGAATTCCCTGTAAGTTGGGATCATAGTATATTGTCTTGTATTTTTCTTTTCTTTTTCTATCTTGAGCATTTTATCCTGATGCTGAATAGGTTTAGAAAGTATGATTTGAATGGCTACATTATATATAATACCATAGTTGAATCATTCCTCTACAGAGCATTTTGTTTTCAGTTCTGCATCATTGTATATAACACTGTTATGAACATAGATGTTTAAAAACGTTTGAGGCTACCTCTGACTACTCGTCTGGGATGAGTTTCTACATGTGGAATTTTTTTGAAAAAATAAATGAAAAGCTCTTGATATCTACTGGCAAAATTTTCTCAGAAAGTTTTTTCTTTTAACTTATGTTCCCTCCCAGTAGAAGTATAGTGAGAATGTCTATTTCCCCTTCATTATTATTTCATAATAACTCTTCATATATTAAGAATAGTAGTTCTTCAGTTGGCAAAATATGTTGCAATTTCTGCCCTACTTGTTTGTCATTTGCCTTTCAACTTTGGCAGAATGGTCTTTTAACTTACAGTCTTTTAAAGTACATCCCATTTTTATTTTACTAGAGATTACCATTACATTTTTTTTATTGAATTACTAGAGGTCCGGTGCACAAAAATTTGTGCACTCGGGGAGAGGGGGTGGGTCCCTCAGCCCAGCCTGTGCCCTCTCGCAGTCTGGGACCCCTCAGGAGATAACGACCTGCTGGCTTAGGCCTGCTCCCCGGTGGCAGAGGGCAGGCCTAATCCCTAGGTGCAGCCCCTGGTTGGGCTCAGAGCAGGGCCGATTGGGGAGTTGGGGCACCACCCCCTGTAATGCACAGAGCAGGGCGGATTGGGAGGTTGGGATGCCACCCTCAGTCACGCTCAGGGTAGGGCCGATTGGGGGGTTGGGGCACCACCCCTGTCACACTCAAGGCAGGGTCAATGGGGAGGTTGCGGCACCACCCCCTGTCACGCACAGAGCAGGGCCAATCAGGGGATTGGGGCACTGCCCCCTGTCATGCACAGAGCAGGGCCGATCAGGGGGTTGGGGAGCTCCCCCCTGTCACGCAAAGAGAAGGGTCAATCAGGGGGTTGGGGCGCCGCCCTCTATCACCCACAGAGCAGGGCCGATCAGGGGGTTGGGGCGCCGCCACTCTCACACTCAGGGCAGGGCCAATGGGGAGGTTATGGCTCTACCCCGTCACACACAGAGTAGGGCCCATGGGGTGGGGGGGTTGGGGCGCCGCACCCTGTCACACACAGAGCCGCAGGGCGATCAAGGGGATGGGGAGCTCCCCCCCATCAGGCGCAGAGCAGGGCCGATCAGGGGGTTGGGGCACCTTCCCCTGTCAGGAACAGAGCAGGGCCGATAGGGAGGTTGTGGCCCCGCCCCCTGTCACACACAGAGCCGCAGGGCGATCAGGGGGTTTGGGCGCTGCCCCCTGTCATGCTGATCCCGGTGCTGGGAGGCATATTACCCTTTTACTATATAGAATAGAGGCCTGGTGCATGGGTGGGGGCTGGCTGGTTTGCCCTGAAGGGTGTCCTGGATCAGGGTGGGGGTCCCCACTGGGGTGCCTGGCCAGCCTGGATGAGAGGATGATGGCTGTTTGCAGCTGGTCACACACCCTTCAGGGTGGGGGTCACCACTGGGGTGCCTGGCCAGTCTGGGTGAGGGGCTGAGGGCTGTTTTCAGGCTGGGACTGAAGCTCCCAACTGCTCCTTTTTTTCTTTTTTCTTTTTTTATTCTGGGCCAGCTTTAGCCCTGAGGCTTGGCTCCAGCTCTGAGGCCTCAGCTGCTAAAAGTAGGTATCTGGTTTGTTTTGGTTCTATAATCGAAACTCTGTATCAACTCCAGCTCTGAGATCCCAGGCTCGCTGAAAGCAGGTTTCTGGGGTTTTGTTTCGCTTCTATATTTGTTACAATGTTCAAACTGCAGGCTCAGAGGCTGGCAAGGCATGCGGGGAAAGTTGGGGTCCTCCATCACTGAAGCAAGCAAGCCTCATGGTCAGTTTAAGCTGCCTGGCTGCCGGCCGCCATCTTGGCTGGCAGTTAATTTGCATATCGCCCTGATTAGCCAATGGGAATGGTAGCGGTCATATGCCAATTACCATGTTTCTCTTTTATTAGATAGGATGTTTCTGTCAATGTAAATATCAAATAGTATGTAGTGATACTGCTTTGCAAATGCAAAAAAATTTATTGAATTTTTACTTATTTTCTCCATATTCACCAATTTTTATTGAAATAATATGAGATTTGCAACCTAGGTGATTATAAGTAAATTGTTCATTTATAATGAACTTTTCATTTGATATTATTTTTATATTTGCATCTAGTTTTATTTCTAGCTTGATAACAATTACTTTTATTTTTATTTTAAACAGCCAAAGCAATCTCTTTTTAAAAATATATTTTATTGATGTTTTACAGAGAGGAAGGGAGAGGGATAGAGAGTTAGAAACATCGATGAGAGAGAAACATCGATCAGCTGCCTCCTGCACACTCCCCGCTGGGGATGTGCCCACAACCAAGGTACATGCCCTTGACCGGAATCGAACCTGGGACCCTTGAGTCTGCAGGCTGATGCTCTATCCACTGAGCCAAACCGATTAGGGCTAACAATTATTTTTAAACACTAAGATTTGCTAGTTTTATTGAAGAGGCTAATGTATTTCCTTATTCTTAAGTTTTTAACATTGAATTTTTTCTGTCAGTTGGAGCACTTCTTTGGCCAATACTTTTAGAAAGGACCCGTGGGCATGCCTGAGTCCTTTGATGTCTAGAAGAACCTTTCTTTTGTTATGGTGAACAACTGAGAGTTGACTGTTCAAAATTCATATGCTATTTTGGTTATTTTTTTTCAGTTAGTAGTTTCTCTCTCTCTCTGTTTGTAAGTAGGTTAAGTAGGCTTTTCAGAAAATTATATCCAGGGATAACTAGCCCAATACTATTTTAACCAACTGGCCTATAATATCATTATTCAGAAAGGCAAATTAAATGAAGAAATAATGTATTTCTCCAAAACTGCATGGACATTCGGTGTGAGATAGAAGCAGCCTTCAGGAGGACTGTAATTTATGGATCACAAAGCCTCTGCTCTACTTGAACCCTTTAGCTGCTGGCTTTTGGCCATTTCATAAGGAGTCACATCACAGATATTCTGAGATGGTTTTGAATGGCACGCTTGCTTTCTGCTAGTGTAGAAGCCTGGGAGTGCCAAGGATGTCAAATCTAAGACCTGGGAAAGTTAATTCTGTGCACACATGCCATCATTGCAATCTGTTAGCACATACAGACGGATTGTGCTCTCACCTACTTTTTCTCACTGTAGAAAATTTTTATGTGTATTAATAATTTCACCCTGAAAATATAAGGGAAGCTGATTACCGTGGAACAGGCCTATCTCCTCTTGATTTAATCCCTTTTTTCTTCTTGATGTGTTTATTTTGAGTAGTACCACTTTAAGGGCTGAGGTTGAGCATACTAATATCAGGTATTTCAGTCATGTGAGGAGGAGGTGGGAGCAGAGAAGGTGAAGGGCAGTGCAGAGCCACCACTTGGAGCAAGATCACTTCAGGGCAAGGAATCATATAGTGGGGCTGGCTCAAATTGGAGTTGATTATGATGTCATAAGAGTTGCCATTTGTTAATTTAAATATTAATTGCCTGCTGTCAGCTGTAGTTGAGCAAAAACAGATTTGTTTCTGAAATGCACCCCCTGCCCAGTTTTCATTTTTGCTGGATTTCCCATAGAAAATTGGTCTGACTCAGTTGTCAAATGAATTTTTATTGCTCAGATAATCTTTTATGCTGTTTTGTAGTAAACCGGACGTCAACACCTTCAGTTTTTAATCAAAATTACTTTTAACTTGGGGATGTTTTAAATGTAGAAAGTTTGCCACAGATTCCGTGGGACTTCTGTGAGGGGATTATAAATTATTTTATCTGAACCCCGAGTTTGAATGAATCCTCTCCCCCCCATGCCTCAGTTTCCCTCTCTGCATCATAAGAACAGTCATCTTTTTACTCACCTACGTTAGTGGTTAAGGAAACCACGTTTTGTCAAACGGCTAAGTCTTCCGGGGCAGGACGCTACGTTTGTCTATTTCCTGTACTGACGCCGGGCTAGGTTGCTGATGATGGGATATGTGTAAGCCAGGCTCATTGGCAGAGAGGGTGCATCACACGCACTGTGGACATTCGTTTAGTCAACAAATGCTCCAGGAGCATCTGCTATGTGCCAGGTGCTGGACCAAGCACTGGGAATTCAGGGATGGAAGTGGCGTCTGACCTTTGTCCTCCGGGCACTACAGAAGGACGAGAGGAAGTCTGGATGAGCATTCTAGCAGGCCTTCTGTGCCCTGCAGTCTCTAGAGAATGCGGTCTCACCATCTTCTTCTCCAAGGCCACTCATTTACTCTTTAGTTGTGCCTTTCTGTGGAAGTCAGAAGATATATTATACGATAGATGCACATAACTGTGTTATGTTGTAAAGAAACCTTACTTTACCTTGTCATTGTAAATTATAACTACATCCTGTCAGGAGAGGAGAATGTCATAAAATATTGAATGGCAATCATTTAAACTTGAAAGCAATGCTTGTTAACCCTGATTGTGTATTGGAATCATCCAGAGAGCATTTACAAACCCTACTCTTACTCTTCATTTGTGTTGTCTGGGGTGAGACCAGGGCATTGGTTTGGGTGGGGTGGATGGGTGTCAATGAAGGGATGAATAAACATCTCATAATGTATCAAGGAGAACATCTGAGCCAAGCAAATGTAAGGGCAGATAATGTAAAAATAAAGCCGGAGGTTATAGACGTTCATAAAGTTCAGTATCACAAAGTCCCAAGAACATGGGCATTGGCACCAAATTTGGGGTTTGTGCCCTTCAGCAGCTAAAACAAAGGGAAATGTAATCACACGCATAACCCACTACTCTGGTGCCTATTAGATTAAAAGTAAGCCAGTTGTCCATGAAAGTCAGCTTTTGTCGGGACCAAGACTAACACAGGGAAATGAAGAGGACCCCTGATGATGAGGTGTAGGACAGGGTTAGCACATCTAGAGGGGAAAAAATCAGTAAGGTTCTTCATAATGGAGGCTGATGGCACAGTCAGAAACGCCTTGTGTGTGAATGAAATGCTAAGTCTCCAGGCCTTGAGGGAGGAATGGTCTCTGCTAGGTGCCTTCCATGGATGTTATTTCCTACAACCCAGCTCCACTTGGCGGCCTCCAACTCCTCATGTCCTAGGTCTCAACCCCTCATGTCCTTGGTCATTTGACCGTATCATCTGTCACTAACCCTTCTCTAAATGGGCTTTAGCCATACTGGCTAACTCAGTGCCCCTTGAACAGAGCAAACTCATTCCTAGTCCATGGCTTTACTTTTTTCTTTATTTCCTCAGCCTGGAATGCTATTTTCCCGGATTATCGCATGGCCAGCAACTCATCGTTCAATATTTCGTCAAATGCCAGCTTCTTCACCCTTTTGCTGGTCATGTTCTATCACATTACTATGCTTGACATTTTTTGCAAAGCCCTTGTTGCCATCTGAAATTCTCTTAGTGGTTTGCTTACTTGATAATGGTCCTCTCTACTCTCTAAGTCTGCTTGCTGCCACATGACCAGTTCCTAAGATGGTGCTTGGCACTGTAGCTGCTCAAGAAATATTAGTTGAATGAATAAACCTATGTTTTCATAGGCTATATTTTTGTTTAAGAACAGAGCCAGAGGCTTTCTCAGTCAACCGAATTGGAAAGCAGGCTGACACCCTCTCAGTTACAGGGGAGACACAGATAAGGACACCTGGCCAACCTAAGCGCCACCTCTCATCTGTGGACAGTTTGCAGACTTGGTTTTGAAGACTTAATTATCCTCTTCCTACTTTTAACTTTACAGACAGTGACCTGAAACTGTATTATTCTAGCGGTGGTGACTTTTTACTTTATAATCGCTTGCTTATGTTTAAACTTCAGGTCCTGAGCAAACCTACATGAAACTCCATTTTTTCCTGTGACCGTGGGAGATTTTGTGGCCTCTGAGCCTTAGTGGAACATTGTAAAGTAGCATTACAATGATAGTAGTTACCACCTGAGGTTGTTTGGAGAATGAAAGAAAATGATCTTTGGAAAGCATTTAGCATCAAACCTGGCGTACGGGATACACTGACAAGAAGTTATTGATGATAATACTATTATTAGTAATGCCAATTATAATATTGTTTATTAATTATTATGATTACTGATTTTATTTATTTCCTGAATATCCATGCCAATCTGACTTGAATTAACCTAAAATAAACCCAAACCCAAAACACTCAGTAGCACCTTAGGTCATTTCAGTGTATTGTTACCAGTGCCCATGACAGGTTTTGTGCAAAGAGGCAGTTCTCCTAATGGCGTGACCTCTCTCTCTTTTCAACGCCTTGCCCACCTTGCTGTGGACACAGAGGAGAAGGCCAAGAAGGAAGCCGAGGAGAAGGCCCGCCTGGCCGCGGAGGAGAAGCAAAAGGAAATGGAAGCCAAAGGCCAGGCAGAAGGCGCAGCCGGCAAGGCGGACAAAAAGACACCCGGGGAAGCTCAGAACCAAGTCAACGGAACGCGCCCCAACAGGAGCGACAACGCTCGTGGGAAAAACGCCAAAGAGAAGTCGCCTGGAGGAAAGCAGCAGAACGGTGAGTGGCATCACCCTGGGGAAAGGCTCTTCCAGGGGTGAGTGATAATGTCACTGACATTTAATGAACGCTTACCGTGTGCTGGACATTGCTGGGGAGATTTCACGTTCACGAAACCATTTAAAAATCCTAACAACGCTGCGTGGGGCCTACACTCATCCCCATTTTGCAGGCAAGGAAACTGAGGTTCAGAGAGGTGAGATCACTGGCTTTAGGTCAAGCACTCCCGAGGTAGTAAGTGCAGGTCTATGTGAGGCCAAATTCTGTAATCCACGGTCAGCAGGTTGGTGCTGTTGGGGGGAGGAAGAAATAGGAGAACTTGAATGGCTTAAACCAGGTCTATGGTAGACAAGATGGGCAAGATTGGGACTCAGCCGCGGTCCACGAACACCCTGTAGTCTGTTTACCGCAGGGCTAACACACCCCTCTGTAAAGGGCCAGAGAGTAAATATTTGGGGCTCCGTCGCACCTGCTCAGTGCTGCTGTTTCAGAGTGAAAGCAGCCAAAGGTAACACGTAAACAGGTGAGCGTGGCTGTGTTCCCATACAACGTTATTTATCAAAGTGGAAATTTGAATTTTATATAGTTTTCCCACGTCATGAAATATTCTTCTTTTTCCACCTTAACCATTTAAAACATGTAAAAACCATTTTTAGTCTGTGGGCCATATGAAACCAGGGCAGCTTTGGCCCGCGGGCCATGGTTTGCCAACCCCTGGTCTGGTCAGGGAGAGAAGAGAATGAGCACAAGTGGGCTGGACACCAGGAGGGTTGTGTGTTCTGGGGGAGAGGGACCAACAAATGCCCAGAGCGGACAGAGGTGGCAGTAAATGCTCCGTGGTGGCCAGGGGAGCCTGGGAGAAGCAGAGCAGGAGCCTGAGTCTCCAGCGAGCCTGGGTGAATTTCACAACTGTGTTGATTTCCCAAAGTAAGCAGTTGTCTACCATTTCCCTTAAAATCTAAGTATGAAATGAGAGGTGGGAAAAGAAATCAATTTAGAGCGATAATCAGAAAGGCTAATGGTGCAGCAGCCTAATTAAAATGATTTATAACTGCACGCACAGGCTCTTCTGTTCCACCTGCTCATTGGGTAACAGCTCACAGCAGCCATTACTCCATACACAACCCGTGGGAAATTACCTAATGGGTTTCGTTGAGGAACATCATCAAACAAGCGCGAGTCACTTTCCCTGCTCCCTGCCTTGTGGCCGCCCGAGGTATTTCCCGGTAAGAGCTGAAGGACCCTGGACGAGTGGGGTTCTGCGGGTTTGGGGCCCTAGCAGCAATTACAGGATCTGCTAAGCGGTGGTCTCCATCTGGGCACCCCCCCCTCAGCGTCCCCAGCCCTGACCGAGAAGGCAGGCTGCCAGGGGCTGCTGGCTAGCATCTGGCAAATCAAACTGCTCCTGCTGGTTCTGGAAGGCATCCTGGCCTTGCTGCATCTGTGGGAAAAGCTCTGGTCCAGGGCGACCTGAAAGGCTCAGTATAGAGTGCTTTAGGGGTGTGAAGGCTCAGTGAGTAAAGAGAGGCCTTTTTTCTATAGGCAGTTAGTGTGACTACAAGTCTCAAGATCCTCGAGTTCATCTCTGCCATCCTTAAAACAGGGATGAGCCAGTATAGGAACTGTTTCATGGCACCTCCAAAGGAATTCATCTGTTTTGACCATTGGTGATGGTAGAAGGTGACGACCACATCCTTTACTTACACTCCTCCTGCTTGTGGCTGCCCTTCCCCTCCATCCCTCCAGCCAGTACAACCTATTTCAGAATTAAGAATGAGGAAATTTGGAGAGTTTATTGACTTCTAACATAGCTTAGGATTTGTCACATTTCAGTAAAAGTACTAGTACTTATTTTGTAAAAGACATCACAGTCAAAAATGGTCTTGAATTCTTAAATAGCCATTTATCAGTCTGAAGGTCAAAGGCATTTAGAAATGGTACCATCAATACAAGATAGAAGTCTAAAACTTGAGCTTCCTATGAAGGTCCCAAAATATAGTAGTTGAGAGGCTGGCCTCTACAATCAGACCCATCTGTGTATATTGTGGTAAGTTACTTCATTTGTGGCATGACATGGAGATGATAGGGGTTTCACATCAATTCTTTACAGGTTGATTTAAGCAAAATCTCTTTGTAGAAACACCAATTGGCCATTTGTTCAAAAACTGTCAGGCAAATGGCTTAAATCAGGTCTATGGTAGACAAGATGGGCAGTTTCAGAGGGAGGCCCACATGCAAGGTCAGGGGCAGAGGTGGGGCCGGCTGAATGTATGAAGTCCAGGACTAACCAATGTGGAGACAGTTGGCTGCAGTGAAGGAAAAACTCGAACTGGGAAAACCTCCTCAATCATTTGGTGAGTGAGTTAGTTATTCAGCAGATGGATCATTCAGTGAACTGAACATGGATGAATTTGTCTCCTGGCAATAACAGCACCTTCATAATGGGTTGTTATAAGAATTTAATGAAGTGGTGCACACTGCCAGGCACAAAGAAAACAAAAAAGGTCAATATTTTTGGGCCTGGCTTGCTCCTTCCTGGTTGCAATTATTATTAGGGTCCTTTTGCTTCAGTAAGCACCAGGATGTTCGTGGTAATGTATTCTTGGTTTTACACAGGCTGAAAAGAAAGCTCCTACTAGAAACTGGTAAGTAAAGTATCCAACACTTGAGAATAGCACTGGGGGCAGGGGTGCCGTGTTTTCTCAGTATATCACTGGCATATTGTTGAACAGACTGTGGGGTGGGGTGGGGAGGAGGGGGTGGAGTGGGGGTGAGGTACCTTCTCTTAGACAGGTGTCAGCAGCCTCTCTCTCTGAAGGGCTGGATAGTAAACAGTGCTGGCTTTGTGCATCTCTGATGCAACTATTCAACTCTGCCAGTGCAGCAAGGAAGCAGCCCTGAAATATGTAAAAGAAGGTGTGGCCATGTTCCAAAAAAACTTTACTTACAAAGGCAGATAGCAAGCTAGACATGCTCAGGGGCCATCATTTCCTGACCCCTCCTCTAGGGGACTTTGTTGACTTTATCATTTACTATTTGATTCAAGCCCAGGGCCTGTGAAGTTAGATTTTTGACTGGTAGAGGAGATAACCCCAAAGGTTATGGTATTATTGCCTTGTAGGACATAGTCAGTTTCGTCTCTAACCTAGCAATCTTATTTTAACACATTTTACAAATACCTATAAATATCCAGCTCCTGAAATACTTCTGGAACCATCCTTACTATCTCCTTCATCCCTCATAAATTTAAATGTGTTTTGACGTTTTCATTCTACATTTGCGTGCTAGTGTTTTTTTAACTTTTGCCAATTACATTTCCACAAGCTCCTTAATTAGAGTGCTATTTATAGCTCTGTTCTAGAATAATAACAATTGTCATTGAATGATGTGTCAGATACCACATTCAGTACTTGAAATGCATTTGTCTATGCATTATGCCTATAAAATAGGTATTAATATTCCTGTTTCACAGATAAGAACACGGAAGCACATAAAGGTTAAAAAGCTATTCATTAACATCACTTACATTTAACCCAGGCTGTTCCTCACTCCACAGCCTAACAATAAAGTTGAACTGCCTTTCTCGAGGATAAACACCATTGCCTTAAGTACAACCCTGTTAAACAGGAACTTTCAATTAAAAAAAAAAATATATATATATATATATATATATATATATATATATATATATATATATTTATATTTATATTTATATATATTTAGAGAGGGGAAGGAAGAGGGACAGAGAGAAACATCATCAATCAGTTGCCTGCTGCCTGCCCCGCAACCTGGGCATATTCCCTGACCCGGAATCGAACCAGTGACCTCTTGTTTCCTGGGTCGATGCCCACTGAGCAACACTGGCTGGGCAGAAACTTTAATCTTAATTTGCAGATCATAAACCAATATCCAGGACCTACCCTGTGGTCTAAAGGATATTTACCTCCGACATGTAGCCCCTTGTGCCTATAATTATACTGTACCTTCTCTTTTTTTAACCTTGACAGGTTTAAAGTTATTTCTAACTTCCTCCTTAGGCGTCTACATATTCTATTTGTGTTATGTTTATTACTTGCAGGTGACTTGAAAGATGGTAAAAATAAGGCTGACAAGAAGGATCAATCCAGTGTCGGAAATGACTCAAAGAAAGCAGATGGTAAGGGCAAAATTCTCATTACATTTTCCATAGATGTGCCATTTAATGCCAGCTTGTTAGAATTTTACCTAAAATTGAAATGGTGGTTGTTACTATATCCTTAATCCTGAAAAAGCACTTCACCACATTTAAAGAGTACCATTATCCATTTTTTAATAATTTTAAATTATTGTTGTATTTCTTCTCCTCCACCATACTTTCTCCATCACGGATGCATCCTGTACCTTCTTTTCCCACTGCCATTTTTCACTGTAAACTTTATAAAAAGTTGACTCTGGACTTGCTGATTATAATGGAATGGAATGTGAGTCTTTGATCATCAGTTGTGCCGTGTAAATGGGAAATGTTCCATGTTTTCAGTTTTTGCATTTTTTTAAACCTTTAATTAGTTACTACTTTGGGTAAAAACAAACACAGAAATCTGTTTCATGTGATCGTGATGCCGGGAGGCCCACACACTGGAGAGCGACATAGCTGTAGAACTCAGGACGACAACCCCACCCCAGCTAGAAGCAGCCTCGCAATGCGCTTCATGAGCACACCTTCCGCTTTCCAACATGCCACTCTTTCTAAAACGCGAGAGTTCACATTATATCACCCTCCAAACTTCGAGCTATCAGATTGAGAGACTTACTCTCACTTTTTACATAAACCTTCTGTTCCAGTGGTAGCATGAGCTCATGTTCATCCGTGTACATAATATGAAACTAAAAATGAAAGTTTCCAGGTAGTGGATTTTGTTAGAGTCCCAGACTCTTGGAATCTGATCTCCTTGGAGACGTTGTAGTGGATGTTACTCTCCTCCTTGAATTCTTTGGTTGTAACGCCAGTGAAGAACCAGTGCTGGAAAGGCAAGTTGAGGAATAAGAAAATATTTGAACACAACTTCTCACACACACTCACATGCAGGAAAGAAATCTTAAAAATTTCCCCTACGATCACTCAAATAATTCAGTCCAGGTGTCTTATCACAGAATATCTGGAAAGTGTCCAGCTGGTATGGCTTAGGTGTTGAGTGTTGACCCATGAACCAGGAGGTCATGATTTGATTCCCGGTCAGGGCCCATGCCCAGGTTTCTGACTCAATTCCCAGTGGGGGAAGTGCAGGAGACAGCCGATGGGTGATTCTCTCTCATCATTGGTGTTTCTATCTCTCTCTCTCTCCCTTTCTCTCTCTGAAATCAATAAAAACATATTTATAAAAAAGAATATTTGGAAAGGACACATGCATTTTTTTCACCAAATTGTACAAACAAAAACCACTTACCTAGTAAATACACTGTCCGTGAATGATTGTGACTAAGATGTGAATTATGTGAATATAATATAGAATTCAAATAACAGTTTCTTACCAGACTCAGGGTTAAAGTTTGTTCAAATACTAGAGGTTTTTGCCAGATATCATTTGCCAAGTCAAGGTAACACAAACCAGAAAATGTGTTAGCCCTAAACACATTGCCTGGAAACCCTGACCCAGCAACTTCGCCCATCCGAGTTCCTACAGCATAAGGCCCCAAATAAATCAAGGTTCAAATCTTTAAGGTGGAGTCTTGAATTTTGTTAATTTTTGTATTGTGCTACAAATATCTGTTATTATGTTGTCATGTGGGCATTGGGATTGAATTTTATTATCTTCATTAAGTTCTTTTATTGCACCTGTGCCCCTTTTAACCAAATTGCCCCCTTCCCCCAAAAAAACATGTATAATTATTTTAAATACTTTTGAGAGGGCATATTAGTGCCCAGTGTGATCAAACCCGCTGGGATTTGAAGTTTTAACATTGTATGCCTTTAGAAAGAAATTGAATGGAAGGGAAGCAGAGTTGGTTGTTCCCAAACTCCAATGAGCTGAGGCAGGCAAAGAGGGAAGGCGCGTGTGCCGTAAGAGTAAATTACATCCTGGCATAATGAACACATTGCAGTTGTATATTATCTCTGTCAGGCTCCTGAGGTACTATTTAGTGCCCTGCCCCACTAATTTTCTAACTGACTTCAAAGAATGAATTATACATCTGATAAGGGGTTAATTTCCAAAATATATAAAGAACTTCTACAACACAACATGAAGAAAACAAGCAATCCAATGAAAAAAATGGACAGAGGACTGAGTAGATACTTCTCCAAAGAGGACATACAGAAGGCCAATAATCATGTGAAAAGATGCTCAAAGTCACTAATCATCAGAGAGAAGCAAATTAAAACAAGGATGAGATATCAACTCACACCTGTCAGAATGGCTACCATCAATAATCAACAGATAGCAAGTGTTGGTGAGGATGTGGAGTAAAGGGAACCCTCGTGCACTGTTGGTGGAAATGCTGACTGGTGCAGCCACTATGGAAAACAGTACAGGGTTTCCTTAAAAAATTAAAAGTGGAATTGCCTTGTGACCATGCAATTCAACTTCTGGAGATATATCTGAAGAAAACAGAAACACCAGTTGAAAAGAATATATGCACCCTATGTTCATTGCAGCGTTATTTACAAGAGCCCAAGATTTGGAAGCATCCCAAATGCCCATCAGTAGATGAGTGGGGAAAAAAGCTGTGGTACATATACACAATGGAATATTAGTAGGCCATAAAAAGAAGGGAATCTTATATTTTGTGATAGGATGGATAGACCTGGAGAGTATTATGAAATAAGCCAGTCAGAGAAAGACAAGTACTATATGATTTCACTTAACATGCGGAATCAAATGAACAAAGTAAACTATCAAACAAAATAGAAACAAACTCATAGATACAGAGAACAGATTGTCAGAGGGGAGGAGGGTTGGGGGCTAGTGCAAAAGGTTAAGGGATTAAGCAAAAAAAACAACACACCAACAACAACTCATAGACACAGATGATAGTATGGTGATTGCCAGAGGGAAAGGAAGGTAGGGGGAAGTAGAAGAGGGTACAGGGGGGATAAGTGGCGATGGGAGGAGACTTGACTTTGGATGGTGAGTGCACATTGCAGTGTGCAGTTGATGTTATAGAGTTGTACACTTAAAGCCTGTATGGTTTTATTAACCAATGCTACCCCACTATATTCAATTAAAAAAAAAAAGAATGGATGTCTTTTTGAAAATACCTTGCTTACTCTTAGAAATAAATATCTGGGCTTCTGAGCCAAGATTCTCTCAGGGCCTAAACTTTTACAGTGTCATTGAGAGACTTGTGGGGTACCACATGGATGAATCTTTTTTAGTGGGTTTTAGTCATATTTGAAACAGCCTAGCTTCTTGGACCTGTCATAATTTTTGTAGTTGTCCTTAACTATGGACTTGCCCTTAACTTTACTTGACTACATTAATAGAGATATGTGATAGCCACTGCTTGTGACTCTTAAAAGATTGATTAAATTCTCTTTAAATTGATCTATAGATTTCATGTAATCCTAATTAAAATCCTAGCAAACTTTTTTTTGGTAGAAATTGACAAGCTAATTCTAAAATTTATATGAAAATGCAAAACACCCGCAATAGACAAAGCAACTTTCAAAAAGAAGGGAAAAGTTGGCCTGATTTCAAGACTGATACAGATATAGTAATCAAGACAGTATGGTACTAGCATCGAGATAGACAAATGGATCCATGGAGAGTCCAGAAATAGATCCACATGTTTATGGACATCTTATTTTTGACAAAGGACATTCCATGGAGAAAGTCATCAATGAACCCTAATGAAACAGCTAGATATCCATTCACAAAATGACAAACTATCTCTACTTATCAGATACAAACATTAATTAATACTTAAACATTAAGTAATGAAATAGATTATTAACTGAAATTGATCATAAAATGGACCATACACCTAAATTTAAAATGTGAAACTATAAAACTTCTAGTTAGGAACACCAGAGAAACTCTCTGTGGTCTCGGGTTAGGCAAAGATTTCCTATGCAGGACAGCAAAAGTACAAACCATAAAAGAACAAATTGATAAATTATGCTTTGTCAGAATTACAGACTTCTCACAACTTCAAAAGCATCATTAGGAGAATGAAAAGACAGTCCACAGAGTGAGGGAGAATAATTTCAAAAGAATATTTGATTCCTTCTTATGTTCAGGATACAAGTCAATCTCAATATTCAATAAAAAGGAAACAGCTCAAGTAAAAACATGCACGAGATTTAAACAAACAGCTAGCAAGCAAGCACATTAAAAGATCATTGAAACCATCAGGGAAATGCAAATTAAAAGCCAAATTAAAAAAACCATATGGAGAGAAAGCAAAACAAAACAAAGCTTACATGTGGGGAGAAGGTTTTACACTTGTGGATTATATTCATGTAATAATCGCTCAGCTTTCTACTTCACTGTGTCTGTCAGGATACAAGTTGATCAGCTCATTACCTCACTGAGGAAATGGCATTCCTTGTAGCCACTCTTTCTATTTCTTAAGTTGCTGATGTTCTCCTCTTTAAGGTCTCAGCACAGGAGAAATGGAAGAGGCAGTAGAGCCAACATTCTTGTTAGTTTGTGTAGAGCAACTAATTGTGATTTAAAAGTTTGTTGTGTACATGAGAGGGTTTTGCCTGTGATTTAATCCTTCACAAGACTGACATCTCATGACCTTGACTTGCTACAGGGCTCACAAGAGTCACCGAAAAAAATGAATATGTTTTTCCTGTTTTCCTTCCAGCTGGTCCCTATCAAGTTGGTTTGAAATGTAATGAATAAATGGAATGAATGACTTGGGATTTTTTTTTTAGATGTCTTTTGTTCTATATAATGATGTAGCAAGTTATTAATTAAAAAAACAGTGGCAGGATATAGTCTGAACCTTTACACTTGGGTTGTAAAAAATAATGTCATTTTTAACTAAACTTGAGACATTTTTGTCCTTTGCCTCAGGGGCAGGGCATCATGACTTGCTCTGATGTGGAGTCAGTGGTGAGAGATAGATGGGGCCTGTATAGACCGGGAGGCATGCCCTGCTCCGCAAATCCAGGGGGAAACAGTCAAGCAGCAGAGCGCAGGGAGAACTGAGACACATGTCTATCTATAC